CCTGATCCTAATGGGAAAGCTTCAAGTTTCTCGCTATTAAATATGACATTATCTATAGGTTTTTTGCAGATATCAAGTTGAGAACATTCCCCTCTATTCCTAGATTACTGAGAGTTTTTATTCATCAATATGTGTTGGATTTTGTCAAATTATTTTTATGCATCTATTGATATGATCATGTGATTTTATTTTTTTCTGTTGATGTGGATTATATTAATTAATTTTCAGATGTTGAACCAACCTTGCATACCTGGGATAAATCTCACTTGGTCATGGTCTATTAATTATTTTTATGCTTTCTTTTGGATTTGATTTGCTAATATTTTGTTGAAGATTTTTGCATCTATGTTCATGAATGATTTGGTCCGTAGTTTTCTTTTCTTGTAATGTCTTTGTGTGGTTTTGGTATTAAGGTAATGCTGGTCTCATGGACTGGACCAAGTGATATCTCTTCTTCATTTCTGATATTAGTAATTGGCATCCTTTTTCGTTTTTTCTTAGTAAGCCTGGCTAGGGGTTTGTCACTTTTATTGATCCTTCAAAGAATCAGCTTTTAATTTCATTGATTTTCTCTATTGATTTCCCGTTTTCAATTTTCTTGATTTCTGCTCTAATTCTTATTATTTCTTTTCTTCTTCTTACTTTGGATTTAATTTGCTCTTCTTTTTCCAGATTCCTAACATGGAAACTCAGATAATTGATTTTAGATCTTTCTTCTTTTCTAACATATGCATTCAGTGCTATGCATTTTCCTCTAGCACTGCTTTCACTGCATCCTACAAATTTTGATGACTTGTGTTTTCATTTTCATTTAGTTCACAATGTTTTTTAATTTCTCTTGAGATTTCTTCTTTGATCCACATTATTCAGAAGTGTATTGTTTAGTCTCCACCTATTTTTGGATTCTCCAGTTATTTTTTGTCATTGATTTCTAGTTTAATTCAATTGTGGTCTAAAAGCAGACATTTTATTATTTCTATTCTTTTAAATTTTAAGGTGTGTTTTATGGCCCAGAACATCATCTATTTTGCTGAATGTTCCATGTGAGCTTGAGAAAAATGTGTCTTCTTCTGTCATTAGATGATGTAGTCTATAGATATCAATTATATCCAGTTGATAGGCGGTGTTGGATTCAACTGTGCCCTTCCTGATTTTCTGCCTACTAGATCTGTCGATTTCTGATAAAGGGATGTTGAAGTCTGCAACTATAATAGTGTACTCATCTATCTCTTTGGCAGTTCTGTAAGTTTTTGCCTTACATAGTTTCATGCTTTGTTGTTAGGTGTGTACACATTAAGAATTGTTATGTCTCCCTGGAGAATTGGCCCCTTTATCACTAGGTAATGTCCTTCTTTATCTCTGATAACTTTTCTTTCTTTGAAGTCTGCTCTATCTGAAATTAATATAGCTACTCCTGCTTTCTTTCCATTAGTGTTAGCACGCTCTATTTTTCTCTATCCATTTACTTTGTATGTGTGTGTCTGTGATGAAGACTGGCCCTGAGCTAAACATCTGTTGCCAATCCTCCTCTTTTTGCTTGAAGAAGATTGTTGATGAGCTAACACCTGTGCCAATCTTCCTCTGCTTTGTATATGGGACACTGCCTCAGCATGGCTTGACAAGCATTGAGCAGGTGCACACCTGGGATCCAATTCCATGAATCCCGGGCCGCCAAAGCAGGGTGTGTGAACTTAACCACTACACCACTGGGCAGGCCCCAATTTCTCCTTTATTTTTGAAAGATAATTTCATAGAGTAGAGAATTCTAGGTTGGTGGGGTTTTTCTTTGAACACTTTAAATATTTCCCTCTACTCTCTTCTTGCTTGCATGGTTTCTGAGAAGTCAGATGTAATTCTTATTTGGAGGTAAATCTCACAATATTTTGGGGCCCCCCCATGACTGAGTCCCCCTGGAGTTTTTAACTCTCAGAGTTGTCCACACTGAGCCTCTAGCAATTCATCAGTTACAGTTCAGGTTTCTAATCCTGGCACTGGTTCCCATGGCGAGTTCTACTTGTGAGTCTCTGGTCAGCATGACTCCCTGTATTTGCCTGGCTGTCTCTCCAATCTTGGAGGCAGCAGTTTGCCCCATGTTCTCATCTCTCTTAGGGATCCAAGAAGAGGTGTTGATTTTTCAGCCTATTCAGCTTTTTACTTGTTGTTAGGACTTCCAAGCTTCTTCCATGCACAACCCCCACTTTTTTTAACCACAAAATTTCTCTTTTTTGGTTAAATTCTTTTTATGCTTTACAATCTATTAAAAGGATGCATTAAATGTAGAAATAAATTATTACTTATTTACAGTAAAATTGAGGCTTACCCTTGGAATTATTTCTTGCAGTGCCATGTAGCTAAAAGAACAGGGCGTTGAATTTCAATTCTGCCCCTGAAAAGCTGTGTGATGAGATCTTAGGCAAATTACTTAACCTGTCTAAGCCTTAGTTTCCCTATCTGTAAATCAGGGTTACTAACATATACCTTAAACCATTATTCTGAGAATTAAATGAAATAATATATAATAATATAATAACATATACAATGAAATAATATATATTGTATATATTATTATATTATATACAATTACATGTTTGTATATATACAATTGCATATTTGTGTATATCATTATATTATTTCAAATAGGGCACAGCATAGTTGCTGAGTATGTTATTGTTATTAGTGTTATTTCATATCTGTAGTGTTTTGGAAAATAGTATGATTACCCAATTGACTGGAAGAGTATGGCCTAACAGATAACTTATAGATCATTTATATGGGCCATGGCCATGGTGGGTGACTTGACTGGCTTTAATGTGTACTATCTGGTGTTTTCCATGGTTAAGATGTGTCTTAAAAGTAGATATCGATTTCTTTACGTTGGTCAACTATAATTTGCCCATAGATTGCACATGTAGTAACTATTATTTTGACATGTTAACTGTAGGTTTTTTCTCCTCCCTCTGCTTCCTTGCATTAGTTGCCTTTTCCTGATCATTTAGGCAATATAACCTAGTAGGCTAGGGTCAGGACAGATGCGGCTGAGATGTAAGAAGTCATTCATCAGCTTTGAGCTTCATATTAGGTTTTTTAAAAACTCCACAGTAGAAACAATACTCTTGAAATCATAACTTTCTTTTGCAGAAGACTGGGCGTTTTGAGAGAGAAAAATGTTTGCTGAGCCCCAAAGCACCGAGAGCCTTGAAATCCTCATTTTATAGCAGAAATCAAAGAGTGAGGAAGAATGCATGGACAGAATAACGGGACCCAAGAGGTAAAATCTGGCCAGCATACAGAACGAGAGAATTTAATAGGACCAGAAGAGGCCTGGTGAATGGAAAAGGGAGCTGACTACACTGACCAGAGAAAACAATGGCAGACACAGCATGGACAAAAGGTAATGCTCAAGACCAAGAAGAACGGAGTACACCTCTGCAGAGGCCAGTGAGGTCAGAGGACAGCACCTGGACCAGGATCCTTCCCCTGATGACAAAACAATATAATCCCCCAGGAACTTAGACCACTTCCACGGAGAAAATGAGGAGAAGGACAAGGAGGAAAATTCTGAACTGAGTGGTTACACAAAAAAAGACTGAGTTTTCAATCAAAAGTATATGTGAGAAAGGCCATTAAGCACAAGAGCTCATGTTCTAAGGTAGGCTCAGTTATAAAGAAATTTTTTAAATTACTTTAATTTTCTAACTTTAGAGTTTGTGACCATGTTGAAATATCATATCCACTAACTACACAATCAGGCTTAAGGATGCCTCAAGTTTTAATTCTTATTGGTTAGTCCGAAAGCTTCTGTCATCTGAAATGGTTTTCAAGATAAGAAAGGGCTAGGAAGGAAAAAGTTTTCTCTTTCAAATAATTATTTCAACTGTCACAAAATTTAAAATGGGTACATGTATTATTATCATGGATTTTTTTTAAATTACTTTCTCAAATAGGGAACAAACCTATTTTCCTCATATCTTAATTTAAAAATAAACTTTCAAAAATATAACTCAAGGTGTTAGTTGTAAACTTAGCAAGAATTTAGAAAACTAGAAGTTTTCTTTGATGAGTTATAAATGAAATTATGAAGTATAGCTATAAGAAGAGTCTTTGAAATATGCAAATTACATTGAAATATTTTGACATAACCAGGCTTTGGTTCAGCCTTATCTTCAGCTGAGCATAGTGGGTTCGCTCCACGATCTGCAGGTTTAACTTTTTCATTCACAGCCGTGTTTCAGAGTCATGGACAAAAGCTGACTGCGTTACAGCATAAGCCATTTAAAGTGTTAGCCATAATAAGCCATGCTAATTCATAAGAAGACTGTTAATGTAAGACATACCAAGATTACTAACATCAGGTTTTATATCAGCTAGAATCTTACTGAATCTCAGGCACATAGAAACGTGAAGAGAAAATGGACTTCAGATGTCATTTTGATGTTGTTGATTTGAAATCAAGTCGTAAAAGCGAATGTTTAAAAACTGTCTTCAATAATTAATATTTTGTTTCTGCTCCTAAAAATTTGACTTGGTGGAGCCATGAGAGGGAGTACTTTTATCTTAAAAAGGGGCAAGTTAAATTTTGATTTGTTGCCATGGACGTAGCATTTGCCTTGCCTTTGAATGAAAAAATATACGTTAGTCTATACTGGGCAACATTCTTCTTTTAAGAGCTTGTATGTTTGCCTTACACAATGTTATAGCTTTAATTTAGTCATAGAATAGTAATAAAGAATTTACAGACAGAAAAGTGCACAAAAAATGTATGCATGGCAACACTCCAAAAATATGTTATCTAATAAGAGAGAAAAATGATTGCTACCTTCTGGATGAAAGAGAAAATTGAGAAAAATATCTGAAGCACTGAACATATAACAACATTATTGAAAATGTCAATATTTATGGACTACTGTGAAGATGGTGGTAGAAAAACAAGTTCTAATAAAAAGTTTGAGAGAGACACCATTTAAATGTCTTAACAATTTAAATCACTGTAAATTCAAGAGTTTCTTTTCTTCTAAGTTTTTACTTCATATGATAGTGAAGGCAACATGTTTATAAATAGTACTCATGAGAACAATACATCTTATACATTCAAAATATTCATATAGCATCTTCCACTATTCTTCTGTAAGCATTCCTATTGTCTATATTGCTATCAATTGTAGGGTTAGAAGGCACTTTAACAAACAGATAACTAGTTCAAAAAAAGAGAAAATATATCCATCATTAAGACAGACCTCTGACAGTGAATGCTGGTTGTTAAGAATCCAAAGGACTTTCCCAACATTCTGCCCCATAATCTTTGTTGGTATAGTCTGTGCTCTATTGCCCTACAGCCATGTTAATCTTTCATTCCAATGCGTTTTCTCAGTTCAGCTGCAGTTTTCTCCAGTTGTTGAATGTTCCATTGCCATTGTCTTCTATTTGACTGAAGCTTGTTCACCTGACAATGCAAACGCTTAAGAATTGCACCATATCTCTTATGTTGTACCTATTAAAAGAAAACTACACGTCAGCAGGGCTTGAGAAGGATAAATAGTAAATAGCCATAAATGATATTTTGACTACTCTAAAGAGGAAAGCACTTGATTAGAAATTATTCACTGTAAATAATAATAATAATAAAAATAAACAGTAATTAGAACTACTTAACACATTACATACTGTGTAATAAGATACTGTGCTGAGAGCTTTTTACATATAATTAAATTCTCACAACATCTTACGACATGGATATTATTATCCTTATTTTTGTATAAAGAAACCAAAGATCAAAGAGTTTAAGTACTTCAACCAAGTTTTCACAGCTAGCAAGTGATGGTGATTGGAATTTGAACCCAAATGAAGCTTCTGTGATGGAGTGCCTTCTACTCATCACGCAGTTACCAGTTGGGGGAAATGGTTTCATTTCCTGTATCTAGTCGTTCCCTGAAATGTAGACCCACTGATCTAAAAGCTCTTGGAGATCATGTAGCCCATTTCCCTGCCATTAAGTACATCAGCATTTATGCTGAGCCGGACAATGCTACACTGGAAGACGAAACACAGTGGAAAGTGTAAGAGTTTTGGTGTCAGGCCGCAAGAAAGTAAAAAAGCCAAAATTCCTAATGCTACTGTTGGCTATACAAACAACATTCAATCCTTTTTTAACAGCTTTATTGAGATATAATTCACATACCATACAATCCATCCTTTAAAGTGTACAATTCAAGGGTTTTTAATATATTCACAGAGTTGTGCAATCATCACCGCAATCAAATTTAGAAAATTTTCATTACCCTAAAAAAAGAAGCCTAGTATCCATTGGCAGTGACTCCCCACTCCCCCATCCCCACCCTTAGAGGGTTACGACCACTAATCTACTTCCTCTTTCAATAGATTTGCCTATTCTGGACATTTTATAAAATGGAATCATATAATATGTGGTCTTTTGTGACTGGCTTCTTTCACTTAGCATAATGTTTTTGTTATCCATGTTTTAGCATGTATCAGTACTTCATTTCTTTTTATTGCTAAATAATATTCCATTGTATGATAGGCTACATTTTATTTATCCAATTCATCAGCTGACGGACATTTGAGTTGTCTCCACTGTTGGTTATTATGAATAATGCTGCCGTGAACATTTCTGTACAAGTTTTTGTGTGGACATATGTTTTCACTTCTCTGGGGCATATACCTAAGAGTAGAGCTACTGGGTCATAAAGTAACTCTGTGTTTAACCATTCGAGGAACTTCAAGACTGTTTTCCAAAGTGACTGCATCATTTTTAGATCCCCATGATCAATGTGTGAGGGTTTCAGTTTCTTCATATCCTTGAAAATACTTATTATCTGTCTTTTTGATTATAGCCATCCTAGTGGGTGTGAAGTGGTGTCTCATTGTGGTTAAACACATACCTTTAAATGAACTGATAAAATAGAATAATAGGGCTGGGAAAGTTAGCTATTCATTTTTTAAGGTCTCTTTTTAAATTTATTTATTTTTAATTTTTTGTGGTAATATACACATAAATTGCACTATCTTTTTTTTTTTTTTTTTTTGAGGAAGATTAGCCCTGAGCTAACTACTGCCAGTCCTCCTCTTTTTGCTGAGGAAGACTGGCCCTGAGCTCACATCCGTGCCCATCTTCCTCTACTTCATATGTGGGATGCCTACCACAGCATGGCGTGTCAAGCGGTGCCGTGTCTGCACCCGGGATCCGAACCAGCTAACCCCGGGCTGCCGAAGTGGAACGTGCGCACTTTGCTGCGCCGTCGGGCCGGCCCCTCTATCTTAACTACCTTTAGGAGTACAGTTCAGTAGTATTAAGTACATTCACATTGTTACACCACCGTCACCACCATCATCTCCAGAACTCTTTTCATCTTGAAAACTGAAGCTCTGTAACCATTAAACAATAACTCCCTCTTCCTCACTCCCCTTAGCCCCTGGCAACCACCATTCTACTTTCTGTCTTCTATGAATTTGACCATTTTAGGTACCTCGTATAAGTGGAACCATACAGTATTTGACTTTTTGTGACTGGCTTATTTCACTTAGCATAGTGTCCTCAAAGTTCATCCATGTTATAGAATATGTCAGAATTTCCTTTCTTTTTACCACTGAATAATATTCCATTGTATGTATAGACCACATTTTGTTTATCCGTTCATCCACCCACGTACACTTTGGTTGCTTCTACTTTCTGTCTTTTGTGACTAATGCTGCTGTGAACGTGGTATACAATATCTCTTTGAGACTCTGCTTTTAATTTAATTTTTTGAGGAACTGTCATACTGTTTTCCACAATGGTTGCACTAGTTTACATTCCCACCAGCAATGTGTGAGTACATCATCAGAAGGGGTTTTGTGAAGAGCGTAGCACAGAAATAGGCAAGTGAGGGAGGCATGTGTTGATAGTTCCCCTCCAGGTACTGTCCATCTGACAAGCGTAATCCTGCTATGGAGATTGGCTCCTTGAGCGTCCACCAATAATACACTTTCTTGATAATTACAGCTTCATAAATCTTAATGTCAGGTAGGGTAAGTACTACAACTTTATTCTTCTTTTTCAAGATTGTTTTGGCTAACTAAATCTTCTGTATTTGCATATAAATTTTAAAATCAGTGTGTCAGTTTCCACAAAAAGCACCACAGGAATTAATGGAATGATGTCAAAAATATAGCTCATTTTTTGAGAAAGTTAACACTTTAAAAGTATTGAGTTTCATAGACCATGAATATACTATATCACTCGATTTATTTAGTATTCTTAAATTCTCAGTCATATTTTTATTGTAGAAGTTTATACATTTTTCATAAAATTTATTAGCAAGTATTTTATGTTCTTTAGTGTTAGAGAAAAGAGTTTTGTTTTATTCATTTCACTTTCCAGTTGTTTACTGCTACTATCTAGAAACCACATAGAAATACCCTACTGGTTTATTAGTCTTCTTGTAAATTCCTTAGGATTTTTTACATAAGCAAATATGCTTTCTGTGAATAAACACAGTTTTACTTCTTTACAATCTTTATGCCTTATATTATTTTTTTCCTTGCCTTATAGCACTTTTTATGACCTGCAATACAATGTTGCCTAGAGGAGGTGGAATCAGACATCTTTGCCTTGCACCCGGTCTAAGGGGGAAAGCATTCAACGTTTCACCAATAAATATAATGTTGTTAGCTACAAGTTTTTATAGATGGCTTCTATCAAGTTATGCAAGTTTCTCCTACTCTAAATAGAGAAGTAATTTTTTTAATTTATTTTTATTTTTATTTTTTCCCCTTTTTCTCCCCAAAGCCCCCCCAGTACATAGTTGTATATTCTTAGTTGCGGGTCCTTCTAGTTGTGGCATGTGGGATGCTACCCTACCATGGCTTGATGAGCGGTACCATGTCCATACCCAAGAGCCAAACTGGCGAGACCCTGAGCTGCCGCAGCAGAGTGCATGAACTTAACCACTCAGCCACGGGGCCAGCCCCTCTCCTACTCTTAATTTGCTGAGAGCTGTTATTAAGAATGGGCATTGAATTTTTCTAATACTGTTTCTGCAACTATTAAGTTGATTATGTCTTTTTATCTCCTTCCTTTTGTTAATGTGGAATCATATTCTTTGCTTTTTTTTTTTTTTTTTTTGCTGGGAAAGATTCACCCTAAGCTAACATCTGTTGCCAATCTTCCTCTTTCTTTTCCTCTCTAAAACCCCTGGTCATAGTTGTATACTCTAGTTGTAAGTGCTTCTAGTTCTTCTATGTGAGCTGCTGCCACAGCATGGCTACTGACAGATGAGTGGTGTGGTTCCACGCCCAGGGACTGAACCCTGGCTGCTGAAGTGAAGCATACTGAGCTTCAACCACTAGGCCATCAGGGCTGGCTCCATTGTTTGCTTTTTGAAAGTTGAACCACCCTTGCCTTCCTGGGATAAACTCTGCTTGCTCATGAGGTATTAGCCTTTTTATACATAACTGAATTCAATTTGAAAATATTTTGTTAGGGAATTTTGCATCTATGTTCATGAGGGACGTTGGTCTGTAATTTCTTTTCTGGTAATGCTCCTGTTCATTTTTTTGTATTAGGGTTATGCTGGCCTTATAAAATGAGTTGGAAAGAGTTCCCTCTTCCATTTTCTGAAAGAGTTTTTATAGGCTAGGTATTATTTCTTCCTTAAATGTGTAATAGAATTCACAGTGAAGCCATGTCAGTCTGAAGCTTTCCTTATGGGGATGGGGTGGTTTAATTATGAATTCAATTTCATTGATTCCTACCTAACACCATTTATGACACTGATATTTGAAATGGATCATAAGCCTAAACATAAAAGTAATTTCTTTTTGTGTTAGTTATGGTATGTGTGTTTTTCAAGGAATTTGTCCCTTTCATCTAAGTTGTCAAATTTATTGACATAAAGTTGTTCGTAATAGGCCTTTATCACCCTTTTAAGTCTATAGGACGTGAAGTAATATCTTCACTATCCTCTCTTTCCTTGATCGGTATTGCTGTGGCTTATCAATTTTATTAGTCTTTTCAGCTTTTGGCTTTGTTGACTTTCTCTCCTGTTTTTCTGTTTTCTATTTCATTGATTTGTGCTATTTTATTATTTCATTTCTTCCATTGCTGTCAGCTGAATTTGTTCTTTCTTTCTCTAGTCTCTTATGGTAGAAGCTTAGCTAATGGCTTTAAAATCTTTTTTCTTTTCTAATATAGGCCTTTAAAGGTGAAAATTTTCCTCTAAATACTGCTTTAGCTACCTCCACAATTTTTCATATGTTGTGCTTTCATTATCATTCAATTTCAAATATTTTCTAATAATTCTTGTGATTTATCCTTTGATTCATGGGTTATTTAGAATTGTAATGCCCAATTTAGAAATGTTTATGTATTTTCTAGCTATCTTATTGCTATTGAATTGAATTCTGCTGTGATCAAAGAATATCAAATTCTTTGAAATTTATTATCCAGTATACTGTCTAACTTGGTGAATGTTCCATGTGCACTTGAAAATAAAG